AGGCTAAATCATGGCTTCCTTCAGGGGCCTCTGCAAGGGCAGGTACATTTTGGGAATTCATGTGTGAGGCTTAACTACAAGACGGCCTGATGTCATTTGGCTGAGCCTGGGAAACGGCTGCTCTCACCAAGGACACAATTCATTAAGTTGGAGCTCAAATGTTTCCCTTTTGCAAATTCAATCAGGGCAATTCATAGAACACTGTGGGGCAAACGACACTGAAGTCCCCCACCCCCCATACACTTGTGCCCCTCAAGGGACCAGAGAGCAGAGAGAAAATGCCCCAGGATGCTTCATCAGCTGCAGTGGCCTCAGCCTTTCTTTGCAAATCCCATTGTCAGATGCATTAAACAGGCCCCAGAAATTGGCCAAGTGGCCATGTTGTTTTGGGTACCATCAGACCACCCAACTAGGGTCAGCTTTCTCCAGAAGTGTTTCTAGTGACAGTACTGGGATTGGGCTTTGCTATGGGGATGGTGTTCTCCTCAAATGAGGAGAACTGCAATGTTGGAGAGTTAGAGCAGTCAGGGAACTTAGAGGTCCTTAAGTAATTTTACAGAAGGGGAAATAGAGGTCCAGAGAGGGGAAGGAATTTGCCCAAGGTCACACAGTCTTTAACTGACAGTGCCAGGATTCACAATCAGGTTCTCTGGATGCGAACCCATTAACCTTTCCACTGCAGCTGGTTACCATCCCCAAAGTCATTCTAAAAGTGAACACAAATAGCAGCTCCTACTGAACCTGTGATTTCACTGGTGTGGAAATTGCCTCCACCAATACAAACAGACAATTCGTCAGTAATGGACATTCTTAGCGAGTTCCCTAGGGGCAAGACCCCTAGGGAGGTGAGGGGTCCTGCCCAGGGCCACCCTGCCAGGACGTACTCCTGCTTCCCTCTCCGCTTTGCCACGATGCTTCAGAGAGAGGCTGGAGTCAGTAGAGCCTCTGCTACATACTGGCTTGGGGCTCGAGTGGGTCCCTTCCCCGCCCATTGTCTCAGAGTTGTCCGTCTGCATCAGCCAGAGGGGTGTCCATACTGAAAAAGTTTCTCATGTTGATGAAATCACGAGTCCTATGTGTGTATGTGGGTGGATGTGTATATATACACGTACACATACGTGTGTGTTTTTCTGGGAGAAGAAGACAAAGATTTTAACCCTATAATAAATACAGGATGTTATAAATCCTAAAGTCACTCCCATGTGTGCAGCATGCAGTGAGCCTCCACCAGTTGAAAGGATGGCCTATACCACTGAAGCTATTGTTGCCAAGAGACTCAGGGGAAGAAAAAAAAATAAAGTCTTCCCTCTATCCACATGCTTCCAAGGTTCTGGGTCAGAACTGCACTGCTTTGGGCCAAAGGCCTTTTGCAGGCTGATAGAAGAAGGCCAAGGTTAGTATAATGGGACTTCTAAAATGAGTTATTGAGCTGAGGACAAAAGAAATGCATGTGAGCTTGAGAGGAGAGGCGGATATCATTTCTGAATGAATTTCTCAAGAAATGGGACCTGCCCATTTTTTTAGGCATGTAGGTTTGGAGCTGGGGAGCAAACTAGTTTTTCTGGCTCCCTCGTGAATCCACATCTAGTCAGTCCAATGAGACCAATGTACTGCTATGGTGATTAATGTGGGAGGTGGTTTCCAATCTGCCTGATCATCATTAGCCTAATTAATTGACAGAAAGGCTCACGTAGGGCTTGGGTATAAGACTAGCAATCTCTGGGAAAGTGTTTTTTCTACCCCCTCTCCCTTGTGCTCTGATGAGGGAACTCTCCTGCCGCAGCCTGAATGCCAGTTAAAAGAGCTAAATGCATGCTCAACAAAGGCCTATCTCTTCTTTGCAAATTAGATATAGGAGAATATTCATTTTAAAGTTGATTTTCAAGGTTGAAACTAGCACATAATTGCCCCATCTCACTCTGGCTCAAGTAGGAAGCCAACTGCCTTTGCTCTCACTTATCTTGCTAATCCAAGAGGATGCTTTCCCACTCTCACCACATCTGCTTCACCCAATTTGGTAAAACGAAGCATCCTCAAACTGTGGGCCTCGCTAGCTTATTGTATCAGTCCCCAAGAACCTTCCCTCACTTTCATTTTTCCACATTGACAGCCACGTTTGTTCTTTGAAGGGAGAGCAGGCCTACTAGTCTAGCCTGACTTCCAATCACCCACCACCATGCTTTGGCCCATTAGGCCCTCCCCATAACTGAATGGCACTGGACAAATGGTCACAGTTATAGAAGCCTTACTCAGCAGGTTACCTCAGATTAGGTCGTCTGGTTCCGAGGGAGAGACTGAGAGAGGACCAATTTTGGATCGTGTAATTCTCACTTTCTAATCTCTTAAAAATCAGTCAAATCACGAATAATTTTCTTTGCAGATGAGCCTGCCATAACTTTCTGAGACCTGTTCTTCTCGAGACCCATAAATTCTCTGTGCTTTCCTTCACTTGGCCCAACTCAGAGCATACTGACAATGTTATAAATAAAGGAATAACCAATAGTTTAATAGTTCCAATTATTCATAGGTCACAGAAAGTTCTGGTATCCAAGGAAACCATTCACCCATCTATCTATAACGGGTGGGAAACTGATATAATGCAAGCTTTGTATAAAGCAGCAAATGCTCTTATTGATGCCACTACCATAGTTGCCTGGCAACACTTTATATTACAAAATAAAAGTTCTGTAAGACAAGAAGGCTTAGAGGGAAATAATTCCATTTCCCAGCAGTCCACTTTAGATGTTAACTGTGCTTTAAAAGAAACTCAAATCATTTCTCTCTCTTACTTTAGAATCGATTTGACTTTAGGAAAACCTCTATGTGTTTCCAAAACGTTTGTGCATCTATTTGAAAAAAAAAAAAACGACCACAGACTCAACCTGACTTTTAAGTAGCAACAAAGCTGGACTGTTTTCTGACCCTTGGGGAAGAAAAACCCAATGGACAAACATCCCAAATCACTCTGTCATGATCAGACTTCCAAACAATTGCTTTCAATAGGAACCACCATTTGGGGATCAACTCTTGGTTGAAAATGGAAGCCTAAAAATCCTCGTGCTTCATAACTTGAATCTGAACAAATGTCTTAATAAACCAAACTATTGCTGTGGCGTGAGCATTTGGAGACAGCTCTGGGACAATGGAGAAAGAATTGCATCTGGGACCTGAAGCCCTGGGTTTGAGCCCTACTTAGTACATTCTGGACACTTAAAAACCAAATTGCCGCTTACTAGCTGTATGACCTTGGACAAGCCTCTGTCTCCCTCTGGACTTGAGCTCCCTTCTCTATATGATGAGGGAATCTCAGCAGTTATCTGTAAAATGAAGGGGAGATTCAGGTGACTTCTAACTGTATGACCTTGTCCTTTGGGAAGCCAGGCTAGGTTGTCAGTGTTTCCTAAGCCTTTCAGAGATAGATATTCTGATGAATTTGTCACACTGGTCCCTCCTCTCCTGTTCTTTCCAGTGGGCCCATAACCACCTCCCTCCTCTAGGGCCATCTTGCTGGGACAAGTTGGGCAAAGAGAGCTCTTGAGGTTCCCTTGCTCAGAGAGGCATTACTGTCAAGCTGGGCACTCTTGATAAGCAAGGGCCCCGAGTGGATGGGGAGCTTCAGCGTGATGTAGCTGCTGCTTAGAAGGTGGATGTTGTAATTACTCTGGAATGAAAATGAGGCTGACCCAGAGCGAGCTTTAGTGTTTCTTAGATAATTAGAAGAGTTTATGTTCACTCAGAGATCATACTTATTTCTTTGTGCTTGCCTGCATTCTCCTGCTGATTAAACCTTTTTTACCAACAGACAGTACTTCAAAATGAGGCAGAAAAAGAGGAAGTGAGAGGTGAGCTGATAGGGACCCCCTCCATGTTGTATAGATAAAGATCGTGGGGTTTGGAGTAGGAAGGGATGGCCCTTAGAGATCATTTAATCCACCTCCCTCAATTTTTTTTTCAGAGAAGAAACTGAGATCTAGACAGGGGAAGTGACTTGTCCAAGGTCATACAGCTTGGGAGTAGCAGATCTAGGAATAGGAGCTGGCTTCTTTGACTACTGCCCACCGTGCATTCTTTCTGAGGTGTCATATTGCCTCTAAAAGCTATTTTCCTTCAAACTCTATGATCACGGCCCTCTGGGCCACAATGCTCCTGTCTGGCAGGCTCTTTGTGAGTTGTTTTGTGGCCAACCTTGTGATGAACTTCTCTGACCTCAGATGAGGGACAATGAAGTCTGTTCCCTGAAGGGCACTTCAGGCCTCTCCCCAAAGCCTGAGCAGCTCAGCAGGTCCTGTTACTAACACAGCCGCAACAAGGCAATGGGGCAGATCACTAGTTGGGGAGAAGCAGTGTAGAACATCATGAGACTTCCCATTGACAGGACTCTCCAGCTTACCAAACTCCTGCCTTGTGAATCCCTTTGCCAGCCCAGTGGGACAAAGCCAACACTTTGCTGGTCCATGATGGTCTAGGCCTTCTCTACAGCAGAAAAGGCATTTAACTATTTCCTTTAGCTGGATGTCCAGGCTAGGGTATGATGTCACCTTGGGTCAAGCCAGGAAAGGCCAGTGAGCGATTACTCCCAAGGTTCAAGCATAGGCAGGGGGAAGCTGGATCTGGGCAAATCTGGGCTCCTAGAAAGCCAACACTAAATAGACCCTTTGACACTGGGCTCCCACTTCTATGATCCTATGAATCAAGGTGAGCACAGATGAGACTGGTCATGTCATCATCTTCTCATCCTGCTTTTGTCTCCCCTCTGCCCCCTACTCTATTTGTTTGCCCCGAATGACAATTTCCATAGCAGTGATGTCCTAGACTTGGTCTCCTTTTGTCAGGGGAGCATGCTTAGCTATGATGCTTCTGTAGTATTGATTTTTGATGAAGACCTTTGAAATAGCTGATTACACTTTAGCAACTGAGCCTTAGGATCAGAAATATGCATCCATCACGAGGCATTAGGACCACGCCACCTGAATGCTAATTGAGCAGCCAATTCCACCTACCTTCAATCCAAAGCAGAGAGATGGCTCTCCAAGGGCTGCCTGCCGCTTGTCACTTTCAAATGAAGCGAACTTATTCAAAGAAAGCGATCCAGGCCAAAGTAGAGAAGGAAAAGAAGGAAAAGAAAATCTCCCCAACAGAAAAAAAAGCAGAACATGAATAAAAATAATAAAATGGGAGAAAGTAATGGAAGCATTCTGGATAGGGTCCCACTGGAGAAGACACAAACACAATAGAACAGGCAGCTGTCATATGACTGGGAGAATCTCAAGTGTCAGATGGGAATGATTACAAGACTCTGAACTTTACTTGGAGAGACCAATGGCATGAGTTTAAATACACATGGCAGCTGGGCAGAAGCACTGAAGAAAGTTGGTAACAGCAGCCCTTTGCAGAACTCCAGACGTTCCTCATTAAAGAAGGCATCCTGCTACTACTCTCTTTCCTCCATGGGTTTTTTTGTTTGCTCCCTGAATTAAACTTGGCCAAGGGGAAAACATATCAGTGTCCTCATAACCCATTAGAATATAATATTCAGGTATTATACTCCAACTCAAATATGGGTTTTCTGAAATCAAAACTGACCAAGCAGCCAAAGCAGAGAGAGAAGATTTGCATGGTAAAGCTTGGGGGCAGTCTGGTGTAGTGTTTAGAACACTGCCCTTGGATTGAGAAGGGCCTGGGTTCAATTCCTACCCCTAGTACTAATCTCCTTCCATGACTATGGGTAAGTCCATCTCTCTGAGCCTCGAAAAGTGGTTGTGCATCCCAAATGCAAAGCAATCTGCAGATGTCAAAGCATCACATAGAAATGCTAGCTATTCTCCTGTTTAGTGCACCTGTGTGCAGAGTGCGTGCTTCCCCCCTTCCCATATTCAGTCTGAAGCCCTTTGGATTAGAATTGTCGGGCAAATATGTCGTCTAGAGTCTTTGTGAGGCATGCTCCCTTCATAGCCAGGAGCCCATCATTTCTACATTTTAAATCACGGCTCAGAAATACCAACCTCACTCTCAAATCCCATTCTCTTTAACCAGCTGTTCACTTGACACATCTGTCTCTCTCTTCTGAAGTCCTTCTCTTTGATCAACAAAAGGGAAGAAAACACCACCTGTGTTTCCTTGGTCTTTAGCTTCTTGACCAAGATTTTCTAATCCTTTCAATACTCTGTAGATTCCTTCTGGGGCCATCATTATTAGCCACATAAACCACTAGGGAGGGGTGAGAGCCATCAGGTTTGATGCGTCTGGGGAAATTTTCCAGCTGGCATGTTGAAGGAAGACAGCCAACCTCTCTATTATGAACAGGTCTACCTCAGTGACCCTCAGCAGGAAGTCATTAACCCCTATAGCTTTCTTCCTCTGACCCTTACTGGGAGATCTGTGACCCAAAAGCACCTGTGCATCTACATTTTCATTACTTGGAAGACAAGCAGCTGCTGCCTCTGCCTCCGCCGCCGCCGCCTCCTCCTCCTCCTTCTCCTCCTCCTCTTTGGGAAGAGTCTGGTATGGGTTTCTTAGCTCCAAATACTTAGTGGTCCCCTTCTCCTTCCTCTCCCATTGTATGTACCTTTATCCATTCTCAGACCTTGTTTTCTTATTGAAGTCCTCATTTAGTTTTGGTTTGGTTGTTTAGGAACACGTCATTCATCCTAACCTTGGGGCACAGAGAACATCGATTTGGCAAAAAGGTGGCTGAACTCTCTTAGTTCTTGTCATTTGTCTTAGTCATTTTTGCAAAGAGCTCTGGTAACCAGCTCCCCTGAAGAGAACTCTTCACCTTGGTAGCACCTTTGTACCTACTCAGAACCTTGTCAGCCACACTCAACTTCCTTTTCTTTGTCTTGCCAGCTTTTCTTCTCTTCCCCTTCTATCTTGAGTCTTCCCCTCATCCTCCTCTTCCTCCACCTTGAGTCTTCCCCTCATCTTCCTCTTCCTCCACCTTGAGTCTTCCCCTCATCTTCCTCTTCCTCCATCTTGAGTCTTCCCCTCATCTTCCTCTTCCTCCACCTTGAGTCTTCCCCTCATCTTCCTCTTCCTCCATCTTGAGTCTTCCCCTCCTCATCTTCCTCTTCCTCCATCTTGAGTCTTCCCCTCCTCATCTTCCTCTTCCTCCATCTTGAGTCTTCCCCTCCTCATCTTCCTCTTCCTCCATCTTGAGTCTTCCCCTCATCTTCCTCCACCTTGAGTCTTCCCCTCCTCATCTTTCTCTTCCTCCACCTTGAGTCTTCCTCTCCTCATCTTCATCCCCCCTCCAGCTTTAGTCTTCCCCTCCTCTTCCTCTTTCAGTTTGTGTTCTTTTCCTCCTGGTTCTCCTCTTTCAGCTCAACTCATTGTCCTTCTTTGCTTTGTCTCCTTTCAACTTCTCTTCATATCCTCCCAAACTTTCTCTCTCTGAATTCAATCACTGGCTTTCTTCCCAATTCCCAAACCCTCTGAATCACTTTCTTTTTAATTTCTTTGGCTTCAGCTTAAGATTGTCTTTTCTTCCTTCTCCCACCAAAGCCAGAAGTAAAACCTCCTTGTCCCAAAGCAAAGAAAGGCCAGAATCACAGTGTTAGTCAGGCCTTCCGTGGCCATCCAGCTGCAGATCTGCCTGAGCAGCAGGCTCCTCCACAGTCGTCCCCACATGCGGGCCTGGGCTCCATGGGACTAACCTAACTCAACTGCAGAACTTTGAATGCTACTTCTGCCGATCCTTTCTCACAGTACGGACTTGGTTTTTGCTATCCATGCTTCTAAGCTATGGGTTCTGGCCTTCCCCACCTCAATACCAGTAGCTTTCAGCTATCTAGACAAGTTAGATTCTGGAGTTCAGGCCTTTCATTAATACTAAACTACAGTCTTCTAGACCCAGTGACAGGCCTTGCTCAATAAATTCCAGTTCTAAGCGATAAAGAGACCACTATACGTTATTAACCGAAATATGCCTCAAGTTCTGAAGTGAAAAGTGAGTATTTCATTCCCTGTCACATCCAACTTAATGTTAAGATGATGCTCTTGACCTGTGTGGTGAGCTTCCCTAAGAGCCATCCTTTTTCTTTGGATGTCAGAGAAGAGACAGTGCCTGTGATTAGAGGAATTGAACTGACTGTCAACTTATGGAGTTAGTGTTACTCGATCAGTAACACTTGACAGAACGTACTTCTAATGGAGAACCTGATACCTGGAGACGGAGAGAGAAGCTGCCCTGGCCTGTGATGAAGATGAGCCTGTGCATTCCAAAGACAAGCCTGAAATTGTTTTCAAGATAAAACTTAACATATAATTACTACACATTTCTAAAAAATTCATTCTAAACTTATGAGAATAATATTATGTCATTACAGACATAATGGACAGCATATTAGAGCTGGAGTCAGGAAGGCCTAAGTTCAAACCCCGCCTGATATTCTCTGGCTGACCACAGACAAATGACTTAAATTCTCTAAGCCTTAATTTTCTTGTCTGTAAAGTGAGGGCACTGTATTGGATGACCAAAGGACCCTTCCAGATCTGAAAGCTATGATCCTAAAGATTTCAAAATCACAAGGAGTAGCTTTAAATGACTATGCTTTTCTTCCTCATAGAATACTAGAATTCCTGATTTCTTGCTCAAGTTTGAGCTCAACTGTGTTCAGGAACCAACATGAAGGCTCAAAGCTTCCTTGACATTAAGATATGAAGATGGCCGACCAAATGTGCTGGGGGCCGGATTAGCTGGCTATCCTTGGGTGTAGCACAAAAAGCAAGTTCAAAACCATGTGAAGAATGAGAGCATTCAAGTCATGTTTTTTCTTTCCCAACCTTCAAATGCCTGGTGAGAAGAGAGAAGAAAAGAGAGAATCAGGCTGGCTTGTGTTTTAAAGCTGAATTTGGAAGCAGTTGGTTTTGTAGGTGAGAGTAGCAGCAGCAGATGTGGGCATCCTCTTCTCTCTACCTGGGAAGTGGGTGCCTGAACTGCCTCCACCTTTTTCTCCCCAGTTGGGAAGGTGGGAGCAGCAGCAGCCCCTAAGAGGAAAGGCTGCCAGAGGTCCAGCGATGGGGACCAACTGGAGTTGCTCAGTCATTGAAGTTGTTTTTCATTTTGCCCTAAGCTTTTCTCATGGCTATAATTCTATAACTGCAGCAAGTTACCCCAGAAGCTTTAAAGCAATTGGGAATGTTTTAATGACATTAAACATTTCCAAAATGATCCATTTTCCCATCAATTAAACATGGGAGTTGGGAAAATTGCAATGGAGAGAAACCTGAAGCAAGCTGAGGAATGAGTTCTAAATGCCAGGTAAGGGGCTTACATCCATGGGGTACAGAGTGTTGGGCTGGCATGAATGACAAAAATGATCCAGGAACTTGGAGATACAGAACCTCTGAACAACGACTCATCCACTGGCATTTGCACTACTTTGACCCGGGCCTCGATAGTGCAAACCTACGTGCCAATTTCTCTTCTTTAGAAATGAGTCTCTGTCCTGGCTATTTGTTTCTGCTAAAACTCATTTGGAGAAATATGAATCAGGATGCAGGAAAAAGCTGCGATGCTCCTTCTTCAGCTTTGTAATTCCTAACTCCAAAAGTGCTATTGGAACTGATGGTGACTGATTAAGAGAAAAAGCTGGCATGAATTGGTTTCAGTAAAGGAATATACTAAAGGACAAATGAATTGAATGAATTACTAGTGCAAATAGTCCCCAAAATGACCCCTTCCCTTAGTATTAGTTACTGTGACCAACAGGCCGCTTTGAACTTACTCGTCTAAAAAGGAAGAAGACGTGAATTTTAAGGTGGTAGATTTCAGCTGCCATGACATTTTAAGATGTCGTTCTCATGTAGGCCTAACCCTACAGTCCCTTCACAATAGTCGAAGGCCTGCCAAGAATTCTCTTTTTGAATAAGACTGGCTCCTAAAGCTCAGTAAATTATGGCCATCTTAAGACGAGTTATCACTCTTTCTAACGCTTCAGGGGGCCTGCCTACGTATGGGCCCAGAGCTCAAACTATATAAACTACTCATCATGAAACATCTCAAGGGCCTTTAGTCTGCAAGGGGCTATTTCAACAAAACCTCTCACTCTTTTCAAAGGACTTGTTCATCTGAAGACTAATTTCTTCACAGTTCTCCTACATAAGCAGCATGATGCAACAGAAAAATCCAGGAAAACAAGGGTTGAGTTCTGCCCCGATACACACTGGCTGGGTGACCCAAAGCAAATCAGCTCACTTCTCAGTGCTCTAGATAACTAAATATTTTAAGTCCAAGAGAAGGGAACAACCTGCATTGGTAGAGGGAATTTCCTCACCTGGGAGTTTTCCAGAGCAATGACATTGCAGGCCCAATGTCTATCTGACCCCGATCTTATGTCATCTTTGTAAGGTGATTGAATAGTATGACAACATATGCACGTGAAAGGCAAGAAAGAGAGAGGGAGCCTGACTCTGTCTCAATGATCACCCAGCCAAGGAAACAGTCATTTGACTTTCTTCAGCTTTTTGATTCATCAGTGTAGAAAATGCCAGGGTGGAAACTCCTTCCACTCACGTACAGTGCTCCTCTGTAACTTGTCGCCTTGGAGACTTGCTTGGTAATTTCCTGGCCTGAGAGGTGGAAGGAACCTCAGGGGCTATCTACTCCAATTCCTTCATGGTACAGGGGAGGAAATGGATACGCATGGAAGTGCAGTGCCTCAGCCTAGGCCACACAGGTGAGAAACATCAGAGGCAGGGTCTGAGGCCAGCGCTTCCTCACCCACAGGAGCACATGTCTAACCCTGCCTTCAGTTTGCTCAACGGACATAAAGCCCAACCCATTTGCCTAAGATAAGGCATACTTCTTCTCCTCTATACAACAGGAGAACAAGTTCCTGATATGTACATTGAGGAAGTAGCTTACATCTAAGCATGAGTCACTAACCAAACAAGCCTCAAGTATACAAAATGGTCCCTGCCTTGCCATGATTCCCGTATCTCTCGTCACTAACCAGAGCGGCTCGTTCTTCCTCTTCCACGTCTATACAGCACTTATCTGAATTCTTGCCCCAAAACCTTTTTGTTGGCATGTGGCTCCTATGACATTTGAGTCTTTTCAAGTCATCCACTTAGTGATGGCCATGTCTCCACCAGATCACTCAGTCCTTGTGCCCAAATTCTGTGACCTTCTGCTTGATTTAGCTGTTGAGTCCATCTGATCCTAAAATGAAGTTAGTGCATTTATCGAGCATTTTTGAGCAAACTTCCTACATGAAAAGGTCTCTTAGGTTTTTGGAATTCTGAAAAAAATCTAGTTTCCAACCTCTTGCCCTCCTATTGGCTGCATTACATTATTTGATTTTAGTCTCATTATTCTGCACTTCTGAACTGGGGAGGGGGATATGTTTACAAATGGACATGGAGGTGGTTGATGACAATATCAATAAAGTCAAATGACATACCCTTGCTCACTTCAGAAAAGGTCCAGGTACACCCACGAGCAACCTGTGAAAAAGGCAAGGTGTTACTCCAATTTTTTATTTAAATGAGTGTTCATTGAAATCTTTTGTTTTTGCATCCCACATTTCACAATAGATTTCTGCTTCCCACCACCCACCCCAATTTCGATTTTGCAGGTATGGGAGCTCACACAAAAGGAATTTCAGTCATCCCAGTCATTTCTGAGCTGGGGCTCCACTCACAAATTCAGCACTCTATCCATTAGCTTACATGCCCTCCTGGTTGTGCACAACGGGCTAGGAATTTCTGGCTTAATACAGAATGAAAGGATACAGGGGATTATTGAATCTTTATCTTTTGTCATACCTATTTCACAAATTTGAGAGGCAGCATGACATAGTGGATAGAGGACTGGCCTTGGAATTGGGATTACTTGGGTTCCGGCCTTGCTTCTTTCACAGCCCAGCTATATGATGATGAGTTAAGTCCCAGAACCTTTTGGTGTCCCTAGGCACAAAGAGGTTTTAATGCTCTAAGGTTCTAGAGAGTTACCATCTACACCAGTGCAGGGAGTTTCCATACTGGGAGCTCCTTAAGCTGATACAGTAACAGATTTGGATTCCTGCTTCCTGCCCTCCCCACCAATCAACAAGCATTTGAAAACTTATATAAGATAGATATTTTAAGAGAAATTACTAAAGAGAGATATGCATTTATTACCATACACCAAGCAGTATGTTTACTACATTTTGGAAATGTCGCAGGGCTGATTTGCTGGACTGGGACATCTCCTAAGGGGCTATAGTGCATATCCAGTTCCGTGGAAGATGCCCCACTCCAGTCAATCAGTAGTACCCTGATCACTTCTGCTACATAAAAAAAACAAATTCTGATGAGAATTATTAGTGAGTTTCAGAAATAAAGCATACATTTTTCTGATAATGAACCTAAAAGGTAAAAGGCAAGACCACAGGCCATCAGTATTCTGGAGTGTTGGAAAAAGCAGAGGTGAGTCAGATGTGTGCTCCAGTTCTAACTCCTGATACCAACTCATGCTTGGAGAATGCCACTTCCCTTCTTTAGCCTTCAGTTTAAGGATAATAAAGGAAGGGAGTTGGCCTTACCCAAAGTCAAAAGAGGCTGAAGCCTAACCGGAGTTCTTTGAAGGGTACCAAAAGGCTGGCTTGGCTAGATCTTTCCCCGTCATAAGCATGTCACTGTACCTGAAATCATAGAGAGATGGGCAATTACCTGGGGACATGGTCCAGTGCTATCTGGATTGGAATAATGAACACATTAGCAGTGGTTAGCTTCTCAGCTCATCTTCTAGCTGAGAACAGGACCAGGCCAGTTTGGATTTGGGGAGTGAAGGTTATGACCTTGGCCCTCATGGGCCACCCAGTTGAGACAAGAGAATATTGACCATCAAAAGGACAGTGGGCAAGATAACCTTTGCCTGTATGCCTAGAGGTCCTGCTAAATGGCCAGTTTGACCCAGTCTGGACCTCCCATCAGCTACCTGTCATGCAATTATAACAAGAAGAGTTAATTGCATAATTACATTTTTGCAAAAAATGTTGACTTGTGATTTGGCCAGAATTAAAGGATTAGGAAAATGGCTTTTCTTCGTTGCTAAGGTAGTCCACGTCCTTGATGGAGTCTCATGCTGGGCACCTGAGAAGACTGGTAGGGGCACATAGCCCTGCTGGGATAAAGCCTGCTGAGTTTACAGTCAGGTTTAATACATAAGAACTATTCCATGAATCTCTAATCCAGGCATTGTATAATTGAAATCTCTATAGGCAGGCTTCTGATGTATACTGAACATATTACTCTCACATAATTGAACTCGCTTTGCCTACTATTTAAGGAAGGCACTGATTTAAAAACTCTTTTATCCAAGGACCCAACAAAGCATAAATTATATTTTACATCGAAGGAAGAGTAGAATTATAGAAAAACTAAATGTCATATACACATAGACAGTGCTCTCTGGTCTCAATATTACTTGCAAAACAGACATGCCCCCAAAGGTTTTTCAAACCTTGTCCAGAAATGAAGATGCTTTCTACTTTGCATGGAAACTTGACATGCAATTTCAGCAAGTCATCTCTAGTCAGTTACCTGGTTCAAGAAGGGAAGACTTCCCAGGTATAGTTGGGTTCATTCTAGCTTTTGAAACAAGTGACTCCATACAAGGTTCTGCTTTAGCTGCCTTCCTGACTTCTTGGAAACTTTTGGCCAAAAAGGAGTTCTTCACCTTACGCATACTACTGGGCTGTCTCAAAAGTCCATTAAAGCTTAAAGTTGCATCAAGATTTTTGAGAAGTCCCATAGCATCATTCTGCAAGAAAAAGTACATGTTCTCTATTTGCCGAAGGCAGGGGAGGACACCTCTCCAAAATTTTAGCTTCAGACAACCCTTCAGTTTAGTTCCTCCCTTCTGGAGTTTTTGCTACCAGTCATAAAATAATGTGGTTACATCCCTCTGGTTCAGACACAGTGTTCAGGGCAATCAACCAAACCCACTCCGTGCCCAACATTTTTTTAAAGAGGGGTACTCAGAATGAGCCACAGTCCTTACTCACAAGGAACTTACAAACTAGCTGGACAGACATAGCAACAACAAGAATAATAACAATTAACATTAAGGTTTGTAAGGCACTTTACAAACATCATCCTATTGGATCCTCACAACAACCCTGTGAGGTAGGTGCTATTATTATACCCATTTTACTAATGAGGAAACTGAGGCCAAGAGAGGGTGGAGCTGAAGGGACTTACCAAAGGCCATATTTACCACCTTTCTGAACGTAATTTTCAGAGAAGCAAAGTCGAGTCATTCCAAATCCATTCTAATGGCTCTCATGGGGCAATAAAGTCTATTAAGCTTTGAAATGTCATAAAAACATTTAAATGGTCATAAAATTACAATGTATTTGCATACCTAGAATGAAATCAGGGATTGGGAAGTCACCAAGAGAACACAAGACTAATGGTGGCTTCTTAGGCCATTTTCCAGGGTTACCTTCAGGCCAAGTGGCGCCACTTTTTCTGTACATCACATATAAGTTTCACAAGACCTCAGTTTTCTTGGAACACAGTGGCTCTGTGTTCTGATCAATTAAACAAAGGCCGGCCCAAAGGAAACCCAAAATCGGCCCCATGGTCTGAAAGCATTAAAGAACCAATTTGTGATGGGCTAATTGATTCCTAGCAGAACAAACACGGCTGACTTAATTCTGGTTTGCAAAGAACTTGACTTTTTAAAAGTCCTGCTTCTTAAAAAGACCTGAATTCAGTAAGGAAATGGGAGGGGGAAATTCACTTTAGACCTTGAAAGTCCACTTTGATACCAGTTAGAATAGCCCTCGAGTGGAATGATAGGGAACCTTATCAGTGATCTAGATCTCCAAAAGACACTTTCTGGCATAGAGAGTGGGAAGTTATTACCCAAGCCCAGTGAGGGCATCTCCATTGCAGGGTATCTCTAGAAGAGCCAGTATTGACCAAGGTAAATTGATGGCCCTGTTGGTTCCCTTGGCAAACCCAGGGGAGTTCAGCAAATCAGGCTGGGGCGGTATGCCATAGGGGTAATAGCTCCCATTTATGGAGCCAGAGACTACAGTAAGTACTTGAGCATAGAATCACAGAATGACTGAACTGGAAGGGGATATTCATGACCCTCTGTGTGTCGGGGGGGGGAGGAACTGAACCCCAGAGAAGAGAAGGGACTGGTCAGCCCAGAGTCACATAGCCTCGGTCTGGTTCTCTGATGGTTCTCTGAGGCAGCTATCATTACAGTGGAAAGAGGCATGCTGCTACATGCAGTGCCTCCCAGAATCCTAACAACAGAAGAAACAGCTGAGGGGCCCATTCATTCCCCCAATGCCTAATACTTTGAGGTTCCTAGCCAGTGATGCATAGAATTAGGGAAATGGCAAAGACATTGTTAAGAAATATGGCAAGTGCAAATCTGATCAAGGCTTTTAAATGGGATGACTGGAAGCTTTTGTCTGACAAGCAAGAGGCCTGGAGATGAGGGGAAGGAAGACTGATGAAGAATGCAGAAGCAAAATGTGGCCCTGTCTTGCATACATATGCATATAAATCAGGGAGTAGGGAAGCTACAAGTCAAGCTCCCCAGAAACCCAGGCTCCCAGTAAGTGGGCAAGATGCTTTCACCCTACTTCCATCTTGGGCTCTGTGATACTCTTACCTACAAGAGGCTAAGAGAGAGCTTAGTGGCTTCAGAAGAGATTCTTTAAAACCTTAACCAAGACCCCAAGGAAAGGGAATTTTCCATCTCCCTGATGGGTAGCAGACCATTTTGCTTTGTTTCTTCCCTCCTCAAGACCTTGTCTCACACTGAGAACCAACAGGAACCCAACTTTGCAGGAGCTGCTGAGAGAAAATGCCCCACTTCCCAGTGGACTTGCCTTGACTAATTCTGCACGCTGTTTTGGGAATCAAGTGGTGAGATAATGTGGGCTTTTATCAAAAAGAGACTGTAGAATCTGTTAGCCAACAAAGGAGCTATTATGATGTGTGTGTGTGTGTGTGTGTGTGTGTGTGTGTGTGTGTGTGTGTGTAATTTAAGAGGAGAGAGATCTTTCAGAGATGGGCCAAGCTCTCTGGAGGCAGGAACTTATCCTAAATGACCTTTCCACAGACCCTGCCCTCAGGGAGCTTACAATCTACTAAACATGATCAGGCCCACCATAGTTGATCTGAGTGATATGAAGAGTTAATTTCTTGTAGTGGGAGTGTAGAAGGAGGGGGAATTGGGGTCTGAGCTAGAACTTCAGGGATGGAAGGGTACTGGGCAAAGGGCACTGCTAAAGCATGAATGGGAATACTAGACTTAGCTCCTGGAAGGCAAGGACTGAGTTACTTCTCTCCCCCTATCACAGTAGGAGGGACCTAATCAACAGTTACTGCATTTTGACTGAGAAGTGAGAAGCTGTCACAGTGGGCCCAGTAACCGACCTGCCTACCTACTCACTACTGACCCTACAGATGAGGGCAGTCTGTAATGAAAGGATGCAGACTGGCTCCTTGAGGTGCTGCCTCTGCTGATCCACTGTCACAACACCGCCTTGGTTTTGCCATCAATTCTTCCACACCATGCGTTCTCGCCTACTGCCTGGGGTTCTCGGCCTTTCCCACCTCAATGCCTCTCAGCTATCTGGACAAACAAGCTGAGTCCTTGGAGCCATGTGGAGGACTCATATTTTCTCCTAGCTGAAGGCACTAACCGTTGGCCTGAGGGAATAAATGAGTGGCAGGGTTTTAATGAAGGCTGGCCACAGTAAAGGCTCCCAACCTTATTAGACATGCAGCTGATTAAATTAAATAAAACAAAAGTAAGCATATAAAGCTGAAAATCCGTTTCTGAGAGGGCCCTGGTCAGGGAAATGAAAAGAATTAGGAGGTATGTGTGACTGTAACAGAGCCCCTTTTCTAATTTCTGCTAACCGGACCAAGTCAAGGGGAGTCATTCCAGCTAGCTAGCGGGAGCCCCCACCCAGTCTCTTCCCACCACCGTTGCAGCCTGCTCGCCTTGCTGCTTTTTGCTTAGCAAAGTGATGCCAATTTAGGGTGTCATACAAATAAGCAGAGCAGTGTCCTGGGGTTGCACTGTCTTTGAATAGGACAGAAAGGAGAGAAAAATGAGGAAGCCAGATGCTTCCAGCTCCAAGTATTGCTGCCCAAGGGCTAGATTGACATACCTACATTCTGCCCTCCCCATGGATGTCTTGGGATTGGCTCTCGAAATTAATTTTTGCCTCAGCAGTTTCCCTTTCTAACCCTATTGTGAGAGAAGCTTCCTAGAGAGAATGACATTTCTGGGTTTCAAGGGATATGACAACTCTAAATGATTACAGAAATGATGACAGGGGGTGTTAGGACTTGGATCAGATAAGAAGAACTCATTACATATTCCAAGTGTAAATAGAGAACTGCCCAAAGAATTAGATCTCACTTTTTATTCAAAATTGGATTCTTTTCAGGGTAATAAAGGCGAACATTTTTCTGAAAAATTTATCAGATCCATAAATGCTGATAAATCAGAAGAATAATTACCATGAAGTAGCTTGGTAGATTTCCTTTGGTCTCAGAAAAAAGTGTATTCATCAAAGAGTGGAAAGTATTTTTATTTTCCTCCTCGATTATTAAAGCACAGAAGAGGATGGCATCACAGCGGAAATTTGCTCTATTT